CCCACAACTCAATATGTGCTTTACATTGAGGCCCATTCACATATAATCTTTATATAATGTATTTGATGCAGTCCGTTTGAGAAGTGAGGATTCCTTCTGTGACAAAAAGGTAGAAAGATAAGATGGACCTTTTAGAATCAGAAACAGGTTTATTGCCAGGTAGGTTCGCACATACTAGGAATTTGACTTGATGTCATGGTGCAGCATGTATAAAATATAAAAAAAAAAAAGAAATATATTACAAAACAAAAAATATTTTACACCGTAATAAAATACAGTTTAATGGCAATACATTATTGATCCCTAAGGGGGTTTCAAGGTGTTATAGCAGCAACAGAAACACAGACTCCACATGGGAATATGCACAAGGATAATTAGAACACAAATAGAAATAGATAAGGAGGAGTTAGGGTGCATAGATGAGGTGTTTTTGATTCTGCAAAAAGTGTGTCCACCTTTTTTTTTTAATGCAAAAAAGACACAAAATGCACACCCCATCCGGTCCCTGTGTGCAGCCTCACATATGTCCTGCTCGCGGAGGATGCGTTGTGCACAGTGTTGAATGTTGGACTGCACCATTCCTACCGTCTCCACCGGGGAGGCTGTAATCCGATCCTGTTTGAGGAGGGAGAGGGCATTGCTCTGCTGCTCTGACGCTCTCCACTCCTCCCCTTTCTGCCGAGTGTCACCCTCTTTCTCCCTCATCTGCTCACTCCCTGCTTCTCGGTGAGGCTGGTCGGAGGCGTGTGGCGTCGCATCGCATCGCATTGTTCACCCCGCCGACAGACAGATTTGAATCAGCGTCACACCGCGGAACTCTCTCTTTTTTTCTTCTTCTTGCTTTAATGCATATACCGGTGGGATCTACTGCATGCACGCCTGTTCAGTGACGTGCCCGAGCATGTTCACATCAGAGACGGATTTACCTGAGAGTCCGCTGCCCTCGCACTGTCACAGCTCGCTCCCCTCCGCGTGCAAACATTTGGACTTCACCGATTGTCACTGAAGAAGAAAAAGGGAAACACACCGGATTACAAGGATGGGGTTCTACGGCACTTTAAAGATGATTTTCTACAAAGTGAGTAAGCTTTCTGGTTGCATTAACCTCCAACACATCCCCGTCTCTTATCACCCAGTGTTTGACTCGCTCTGTCGCCCTCATTATCTTTGACGCGCCTCTCGCGGCAGATTGCACGGCCACTGCGGAGGATGCACGCGGCGGTGTAGCTCGTCCCCAGAGACGGCGCTTTAATTGCCCCGGCCCTATTGCTTATGTTATGTTAGCGCTGCGTTACATGTTACTCAATCACGACGCGATTTGGCATCCGTTCTTCTGTAGTAACTTCAGCCCTGTAAATAAACGCCACTGTATCAGAGCTAATGGTTGTACTAGGGTTGCTGCTATTGCACTTAAGGGAATTTCATTCTACACGGCTGGATATAAATATGTTAATATTTCCACGTTATTCAATATTGAATCCCCTGTTTCTGGCTCGAATAGAACCCAATTTTTCCTCATCGTTGGCTCGATACCCCCTGCACCTGTACACCAACTGGGGTCCTCCCCTCTACTCCCCCTCTTCTAGTTATAACATATACTACATATAAAGGGCTGATATCACCTTCTTATGTTTTTAAACATTTATACGAACACTTTTGTAATAAACAACCAGTTCCAGGAACACAAATAGCCTGTTTTCTCTGCAATCCTCCCAGTTTGCAGGGTTATTATGATCCCACATTATGCAGCAGTGGTTATCTTGCAGTGACCAAAGTGGTTGCTTGAGATGCATGCATATGATCAGTCTGCTACTGCCTGTTGGAGCAGATATCCCCCCCCGACATAGTGCGCTCGCCTCAGGCTCCAGCCACAGATAATGGGTCACTGTGTCAGACTGCGTGAGGTGGAGAATATCCTCAAGGATGTTGGGTGTATTGAGCTGGACGGCAGCCATGAAAAGATGCTCCCTTAGTTTCAAATGCTGAGTAAAAACAAGAATGTGAAAGGGAATGCATTACGCAGTGTGTGTGTGTGTGTGTGTACTGTCAACACCGTTAATCACCTTTCATTCAGAGTCATACTCCCTTGTTCCCTTTGTGTAGCCGTGTGCACTTTGTGTGTAGTGCTGAAGGTTTTACTCAATTAGTTATAATAATTGAGTGAAAATGCCAGTCTGAATCAATGGCCAATAGTTTATTCAATTGAACGCTGACCCTTTTGTGCTCTAGATCCATTTTGTTCTCATCATATATTATCAGGATTTGAAGTCACCGCCTCAAGCTTGAATATCTTTATGTGGCTCTTTGATGGTAAAGAATGAATCTGAAATGCCAGGACTGATTTTTTTTAGCCCATTTTCTGGACTGATCGGTTCTCATAGATCCCCAACAACTTACAAAATGCTTTCCAAAATGGCCAGTTCTTGCATGAGTTTCTCTTCTCAAGTGCTGCTGATTGACATGATGAAATGGTTTCATGGCTGCTTGAAACAGTACTTGAGAAATGAGGAAATAGTCCTCAAGTGACTGATGCTGCAGGATGTAGTCTGCGTTGAAATGAATCAACACTTTATGTAAGAGTGATTGCTGTCTTTAAAACACCATTAACACTCTGTGTGTATCCATCTGTCGTACTCTTGGCCAGACAGGGGAGGGAACGCCAGGAGGAAGGAGGGGAGGAGTGATTAGTGGTGATTTACAAACACTGCGCGCTCTGGTTACCTTTTTCCCAGGCTGAAACACAAGTAGAGGCTGGTTACATGCAGCTTTTTTTTTCCACACCCGCATTTAGTTTGAGGTTTTCTTCCATGAACACACAATCAAAGCCAACCCTTTTTTCTCTCCCTCTCAAAAACACACACACACACACACAAATTCATGCATACACACACCCAAGCTCTCCTTGGCTACTGAACTGCCATTGCAGTGAGATCACCGCTTTAAGAACAAGGCACTTGGGTTTAAGAGCCAGATCTTAACAAGCAAGAATATTTTACAAACCCCCCGTTTTATATTCCTAGCACACAAAGTGTCAGCCAGAAATTTCAAACATAGACCTACTAAGTTATTTTAAGGCATTTAGACTTAATGTCCACATAGACTACATTCCCAAGTGCCTCTTCTTTGCATTCCCGTAACAAATTACTCAAGGTGTGCGTGGCTCTTCCCTTGAATCCCCCCTGCGGCTTTACACAGGAGCTAGTTTGTGAGGGAAATATCACAAATGACTGGTCGGATCACAGAGTAATGTCCAGGGGGCATCTAACCTGCAGTAAGAGTTGGCGTGCTGGTCATGTACACATGCCTCTATAAACTCAGACATTTGGTGCATTGATTCCTTCTGAAGTCCAGCTTAAATACTGAGATGGGGAAGCCTGTTTATAATCCCGCTCATCCCTCTGCATTTCTGTATTGTTTCTCATCATTGAAATACTATGTGGTGTTCTCAACTTAAATGTGACTCTTAGGCTGAAAAAACGGAGAGAAAAATACCCTCTCGCTAAATTATAGTGATAAACAAAAAACACACATCTTGAGGAGAGACGTGTAATCATGCTACTGTAGAGCCAGACAGGATGGAGTCAAAAGCTTTTCCTTGTGTAGGGTCCAATACTACAATAACATTCTTTAAAAAACAAAACAAACATAAAATAAAGAATTTACAAGGGTAGGAAAAAAAGTTTATTTTGAATGTGGTTTCTGCTTTTCTGAAAGCCATTGTGAGTTTCTACAAAGGCAGGAGATGGAAGTTCTGCAACACATTTGTAGCACAGATTGTGTGTTACAGCACTACAGGCTGCACTGCATCTGTTGACAAATCCAATTTGACCCTAAATTAAAGTACAAAGAAATTATTGTTAGACCCAAAATATACTACAATGCAGGAATACATAATTAATCTCCCCTGTGGTTTTGCGAGTGGCTCTTTCATTGCTGATTTTAGATGATGTGTAATAAAAAATAATTGAAATGTCCTTTTGTCTTTCCTTGAGGCTGAAACTGAAGGACAGTGATCGGACCTTGCTAAGCTTTCATTTAAACACGTTTAATTAATCAAGGAACAAGGACACAGTGTTGCATTGTATCTCTTATTTTGGCTCCACACTTCTCCCGTTAGCTTGTGTATCATGAGGGACCTGCGATGAGAGGGTGATCACTTGCATGTGTGTTGAGGGAGGCTCGCCAGAGAGAGGCAGGCTCGGGATGAGAAGAAAATTGGCTTTCGCCGGGCTCACACAGGCTCCTTTGTTTGTGCAGTTGGGTAGGTGGTAACAGGGATTGGCTTGGGTGTGTGTGAGCACATGCAGGTGATGGAAATAGATAACGAACCGACTCGCTGTGTTTTCTTTTGTCAATTATCAGTACGAAACACAACTTCAATGCCAAAGACTGCACCCTGTGCCCGCCCTGGAGCAGTTTCTGTAAATTGTGGTTATCTTGTTTGCATGTACACTCGGAGATGAATGTGTGACTGCCCCTGGATATTATGGGGTGTCTGGTTGCTCAACAAGCACCTGCTTTTTATCCTACTATCTCACCTAGAAACAGACCTGCTATGGAACATGCTAATACATTACATCTGTAGCCGATGCATTCAAGTTTAATTCCCTATTTGCATAAGACTGTGCCGTGTTTTTAATACGCTGGATTTCAGACAGAATGTTTTTTCACAAAGTCTGTGACTTACAAAAGCAATTTTCTGCTTCCATCCCTGTTTTTTTCAAAACCTCTGTGAGGCGTGTCCTTTTTTAAATTTGTTTTTGCAAGAACTGGCTTTTCACTCAAAAAGAAAAGTGACTGTTTTGAAGCAATGATGGATTACACAACACATACCAGGACTGCCTCCTCCTCCAGCCAAATTATATATTGTGCTTGTTTTTATTTACTTCTCAGAAGGATGCATTGTGATAATTAGTTTCCTGTGTTGGGGTTTTACATTCTAGTCTCCTCCATTGTTATGCTCTGATGGTTTCTAATGTTTGTCTTTTTTTCTTTCTCAGATGAAGAGAAAGTTGGACCATGGCCCCGAGGTCCGATCTTTCCCTTCAGGAAAAAAGCCCTGCAAAGGCTCTGACTATTCAAGGTAAAGCAAATACATTCCAACCCCAAGTCTCCCAAAAGAGAAACACTTTCTCCCAATGTAATCGTCCTGCGGTGTCCTGCATTTGTTTCCCACCAAAGGCTTAAAAGGATCTTAGAAGAGTTGCACTGCCATATCTCCTTATTTTAGTGCTGTACATGTTTCAAATGAACCCAGACCATGAAAAGAAATAATGAGAAGACATCTAGAGGCGTGAACAAAGATGCAATGTGTCTTCAAACAGAATGAAGCTTCACATCATATTGTATATCTCCAGCGACCATCCAGCGGTCCCAGATGTTTCCCTCACCCTGAATATTTAATGCGTGTGTTCACATGTTCACATTAAAATTCAGACTCAACACAGCCACTTAACCGTAAATGTTGCCGTGTAGCTGGCTCAGCTTCCCCTCCCATTAAAAATTAATCAATAATGAAATGGAGCCCAGCTTTGCATTTTGCTGTCAGCGAGCAGAATGGAAGTGTTGAGGGTGTGACCGGCCCGCTGCCCTCACATAGCGAGGGCACACGGGGGTCTTTGAAGTCCTGCACTGCCCTCTACACCCAGGTTATTACAACAGGAGAGTGTGTATACGAACATACGTCTGTGGGAGTGTGCATACTTTGAAGTCTCTGAGTGTAAAGTATATCTTGGAGGCAAATATTTATGATTTTGACACACTGAACATCAAATTAGCTTTTTCTTCTCTGACCTATTTAACATTTCCTTTGAAACTAGAACATGTGTGATATGGACATAAGATCATTTTATTTACATTTTTAACAGGATTTGTATCTTTTAGCTTCAATAGCAACTGTGATATCCTTACATAATTCAAAGATATTTTTCCATTATGATCCTAAACAAATCTGTTCATTTTGCCTTAAAGTGTACACAATAAGAGTGGTGGTAAGTTAAGGGAATTATCATAATGTGAAAAGGAAACATTGTTTTCATTTGCCCAGCAGAGTAAAACGTGCTCCCAAACGTGTATTTCAACTTTTATTGCAAAAGCTAAATCAGTAATTGGCAATAATGTTTGTTTTAAATGCAGCTTTAAATATTAAACATACTTATTTGCTGTTACAGTGACCCATAGGCCATTATGTGTCTTAAATGCCTACAACATTATTTGATAAATCTTTAAAAGTAGCAGCAAATAGGAAGAAGAAAATATCCCCATATTGAGCTTATTGTGCTCATTAATCGTGCATCCGTAATATCTAATGCTCCCATATTGTTACCATACTTCATGTAGAGAGCAGAGCTTTTAAGTCTTCTCCGTAATGTCTGCAGTCGGCCATTTTCCTTTGAAGATCTCATCTTATTTTAAGTTTTTGAAGGTTTTTCTTTCCTTTTTAAATTGCAGTCCGACAGGAATTGTCCCATGTCCGGCCACACCCACCACGTTTGGCCACATCAGAGCAGCCAACGGTCAGGGGCAGCAGAGACGGCGCATCACCTCCATCCAGCCTCCCACGGGGCTCCAGGAATGGCTCCGAACATTTCAGGTGAGCACAGTCAACTTTTTTCCTTTTGTCTTTTTTAGTTTTACCCCCACCTGGGCACCTTCAAACCCCTGGAGCAAAAGCTCATCAAAAAAGCAGATGTTGAGCCCAATCAATGCTCACTTAGTCTCGGAGATAATTGCTGCCTTGTTGTTGGGGCCCACCACATTACCATAGTCACTGTAGCGTGGAATTGGAATTAGCCGTACCTGTGCAGACTTAAAAGCAGAGTTAAAGCATCACATGTTCCTGCTTCAGACCTTTTGTGTGAACTAAAAGCTGAAGATACTTCTTCTCCTCTGATATAAAGAAGTTTAAGTCACTGCAGTATTTTTTGTCACCTCGTCATGTATTGTTACTGCATTATCATAGGGCAGTATGAGCGACTTGTGGTCCATGATTAAGAAACTTTAAAGACGTATTGTATCTTGTTTCAAGCCCTTCTGTCAGTTTCTGGAGATAGCATGGACTGAGACAGACTGCAGCGTTCATAGTTCAACCTATTTTTATATACATTTTACTTCCTCATTATGGTCTCTACAAACATAATAGAGCCATTTCTTTCAAGTAAAACTCATCTAATAAATTCAGACTTCATGGAAATAGAATGCCATTTAAACATATTAGCTTGAAGGGGTCTCTCTGATTTAATATATAATAGATTAGCCCAGGGATTCTATTACCCGAGAGATCTTTAACTCATTATGTTTGAGGAGCTGGGCGATCCTCTGACACCTCAGTGTTTATTTTACGTACATCAGTCTTCTTGCTTGACCTGCTGCAGTCTACTGTCTTTTCATTTAAAGAGCGAGGGCTGCAGGCGTTTGCGCTGCATTTACATTCTGTACATTCCCAGTCCAGTCCTAGCCTGTAGCTCGTAGTGAGAAAGAATGGTTTCACAAAAATATCCAAATACTTTGGGGCACAAGGATGCACATTACATTTAAGGATTAGTTTGAATTTTTTTATTTGTAAATACACTAATTCAACCTTTTAGTGAGAAGATTGCAATGTCTCCATAACATATAAAACTACAGCCTGCAGCAAACTAGCTTAGCATAAAGACTCTAAAAAGCTAGCCTGGCTACATCCACTGCTATTAAATCAGCCTACTTGCACATCTAAAGCTCAGTCATTAAATAATATATCTAGTTTGAGGGCTAATAAGTTGAAAAGGCATCACACAACGTTCTGGACTGATACAATACATTGGTAAACTTTTAAGAAACGTTTAAATAACACATAATGTTCTCCTAATGAGGCACAGGCAGTATAAAAGTTAAAATAACTGCCTCTTTAGTGTCTCACGGTAATCAAAGCTCAATTATCAGTTACGCAACCTGATTTCAATCTTTATGATACTATAAAAGTTTCTTTTAGCTGATACTCAACACTTCCCTGCATGTCTGAACAGAAGCATTGTATAAGCAGCTCATCACGGTTGCTCAATGCATCGGTGAGTTGTTAACTCCTGGTTTTTGTCACGATCGCTTGTCAAGGGATTACTGTCAGAACTTCATGGAAATGTAAGAATCTAGTAACTGACGCAGGAGTGGGAATGTCTTGGAAACTCTAAGAATACATATTCAAATAAATATTCAACAATCTGAGTTTTTTCAGCTCTATACGCCAGAATCAAACGTTTTGAAGTCTTGAGAAACGTACTCAACTTAAAAGGGCTCTCGGAGGGCTATGACTTCCACCAGGGTTGTTTCATATGTGAAAAATATTGCATGTATCTTCTTTGTGATTTGGATACGCTCCAAAATGTTCTTCTTAGCCCACACCACACCAAGTTTCTTGAAAATCTTGCTTGTAATTTCCAAATAGACAAACTACTCATTTAAAAAAACATCCTTTGCAAAGTAAATACCACACTCTCCAACTGCATTATGAAAACATAACAAACAAAAGCGAGGGGCCTTACTAACAGTTTAAGGTAAAAAATCCCATCTCAGGTAATTGTGAACCTGCAGTTGTTTAAACACAGCATGCCAATAATCTATGGCAGAAAACTGAGGTAAAACATAAGTAGCTGTTGCGCGGTCGTCCCGTTGGCAGGGAGGAGGTCTCTGAACCCGCTGATTACCTCCAGAAGAACCTCTGGCTGGAGCTTTTAGCAGCCAAATTACAGGTGGTTGGCGTGTGCCAGGTTTTCCATCCTGCCTCGTAGCCTGTAATCATTGTTAGATTTCTGCGCTGCACAGAGGAAAACAACCGATGGGTCCAACATAGTCATCAGCTGCTGTTAAAGGACTGAATGTGGAGGCAGGAGAAATAACCCCTAAGGGCTCTGATGATGATGATGATGATGATGTTGTTGGTAGTCTGCTTCCTGATGTTCAAATGTTCCACTAATGTGTTTGTTGATAGAAATAGGAAGGTGCCTGGGGCTACTGTGGCTGCCACTGAGGGCACGTAGCGAACATTAACGTGTTTCAGACACAATGCACACGGCCGTATATGTTTCCAAGTTAAGAGCTGACACGCTTAGACGTCTACTTTGAGCTCTATAAGTTGGCCCGATCAGCCCATAACGGCACGCTGCTATGTTTGTCTGTCAACACTTAAGTCTACAGCTGTGTTGGGTGTGGCCAATACTTAAACTCCTGAACACCACCTGGTATAACCAAAAATGGGTTTCCCTTTATTATGAGAACCTCTGGAGTGGACATTACAGAGAGAATACAGAGAGTAAAGACTTCAGTCAAATAAAAGCTAGCAGGAGACTGTGAAAGCCAACAATGTCGTACTGATATCCTATGAGAAAAGAACTCTCATAAACCGCAGTAGAAATAGATAGATTTAATTTTGTCATTGTACAGGTCCAACGAAATTACAATAAACTCAAGGTGCCAACACCTAACAACAAGACAATATAAAAACAAGACACTAGACTACTACACATAGACATGATAGGGAATATGTACATAAATAAATAATAAATTAAATTGCACGATTCCCCTCGTATTTCACGGAAGGCTTATATAATTTAAATATTAGCAGCGTTTAGTGCACATATGGCCCTGGGAAAAGTATGTTGATGCGTGATTTGGTGTATACATTAAAGACTTTAGAAAGGCAATCAACCCACCTAGATACAAGGAAATAAATGATAGGAATGTGATTAAATTGTGATTTAAAATAAGTGAACAGGGTATATTTAAATTGCAAGCAGAAAAATGCATTACTGTCCAAACTCTCATGCCAATGGTAAACTGGATAATTCAGGAATCTGACATAATATTATTTGTCCTTGATAAAGGGCGTTCAGTATACTTTGATATTGGGGAGAGGCAATTCAAAGTTTGGAATTATTTTGTTAACACGAAGAGAGTAAGAAATTGATATTGTAAGCAATACAGGTACCTGGATGTTGTTTACTGGTACCCAGCCCTACTGTATATTATCTAGGATGTGACATTTTTGTTAAACCCCGTTCCTCTGTGTTGCAGAGCTGGACTGGCCCCGAGAAGCTGCTGGCGCTGGATGAGTTGATTGACAGCTGTGAGCCCACACAAGTCAAGCATATGATGCAGGTGATCGAGCCGCAGTTTCAGCGAGACTTCATCTCCCTGCTGCCCAAAGAGGTGAGTCCCTGAATCCCTGTCTCCCTTATCAGTACACAACTTCATCTCCTCCCCTCCTCCTCCTGAACCAGAGTCCTTCGGGGATCCCTCGTGGTAGACATTGTTTTAATGTACAATATGTGACAGAGACAAGGTTTTCTCTCCTGCCCTAACTCCGTCGCAGGCATCCTTCAGAGTAACAAACAACATCACAGCAGGGTGTCTGTTTTCCCTCCGCATCATAACTGACAATACAAACAACTCCAAAGTGCCACAGTGACGATAACATCACATGAGGGGCGCTCACAGAACAGCCTCAATCCATCGTATCTGGTGTAGCTGATCAAATGCTTCAAACCTCGCCTCCTGTCTCTCTGGCAGGTGTTGTGATGAAAGGAAGGGGGTGAGAGCATCAAGAGTGAGGCAACAGGATGCAAGACTTCAAGGTGTCAACACCTCCGGCTCTAAAGCCAAATAAACAACATCGTCATGTGTGTTCTCACCAGGACACGAGCCCTCTCTTTTCATTTGGTCCCTCTGACTGCCTCTGATAGTTCTGTCTGTCCTCTCTGCCTGAGCTGCTGGAGATATATTGAGGGGGTTTGTCAAGTAATTTTAACAGGACAATCCCTGCGGCTGCATTACAGATACAGTTGAAATTGAAACCATGAAGAGAATCAGCAGAAGGCAGTGTGTCGAGGCTCAAAAAGCAATCACCGGAGGCTCTGGGTCCATTCATAAAACTTTTCATATATCCAGAAGCCCGGTAATGACTACTGGCTTTCACGTGATTTTTAGGCGTGTCAAGGTTTGTGGGTCTTGTCTGGACCATAAGATTTTAAATAACCCTTAAATTAAACTTTTATATCGGAAAATGTGCAGCAAATATACAAAACTACATGAAAGCTTCTTTAAAATGTTGTCAAAAAAGTTGTGAACTGCAAGAAGTCAGATACAACAAGGAAACAACTCTACCAACTTTCAGAGAGATGCAGATCAGGGGCTCAGGTTTAGCAAAGGTAAACATTGACCATGACTTGAATCTAGCCTTATTTTCAGATGGATTATCTAAATTCATTTGTTGCACACGGCTGTTAAGTTCTGTAAAGACAACTGGACTAATTTGCAATGTATTCTGGGTAAATTACCAAAATGTAAAAACACGGCTGACTGAGCAACACTTTGAAACATCTCAGCTGTGTTCCCTCCATGGTGAAATATTTGACATCTTCAAGAATTCAACATTTACAGGAATACCTCACCTGGACTATTTTTGATAAATATTATTTATTTTCATATGGCAACAAAATTGCCCAACCAATGATCTGGTTCCAGCTTCTCAAATGTGAGGAGATGGAGAGAGAGACCACATCTTAAATTACATTAACATAATCTTTTTTTATTTATTTTTTAACCAAACCAGCTATTATACTTCACTTCAGGCTTTGAGGAATTATAAACGATTAATTGTTCAGTCTAAAGGAAAACAATGAGGACTTAACGTTACAAACCGGTCCAAAATGCCTTTGTGAAACCGGCCCCTGATCACCCTGGTGTCTATGACACGGCAACTGAATTCTTCACACAGCGTGCCGTGGTTCGTTATTATTTGGATTATTGTAATATAATAAAAGGAAAATATTTGCATCCTACAAAATAAACCCATAATCCTAGTGTTTTTATGAGCCATGGTTTATCCTCTGCTTTGTTTCGTAGCAGCAGACAGTGTGATCAGACCTTTGTCCAAATACAGTCCTGTTTCTATTTCTCAGGGGTCCAGATCTATGCTCATTATAGCAGGGTTTGTATCTTTTATGGCGCTTTGGCTTAACGAACTGTAGCCCTGGCATTAATACCATCACTGTGATCTCCTATTGTGTATTTTTAAGCTTTAATAGAAATGGGAATTCAATTACATGGCAACACCATTGTCTACCGCTGTCAGTTAGATTCACGCTGTTAATATTGTGGACACAGTTTGTTTCGGCGAGTGTGTTTTCTCAGCTGCTCCTTATTGTTACTGTGATTTGGTTAGTGCAAATTGAAAGACCTCTTCTGTGCGGTGTTTATGCTGCTGTATACGCCCGCAGCAGCGCATTATGGCTGCTTTTTGTATCTTCTTTTCCATTTACACCTCTCGTATTCCCCCCCCCTCTTCTTTCAACAGCTGGCTTTGTATGTGCTGTCGTTCCTGGAGCCGAAGGATCTCCTCCAAGCGGCCCAGACGTGTCGCTACTGGCGCATCCTGGCAGAAGACAACCTTCTGTGGAGGGAGAAATGCAGGGAGGAAGGTGAGTCTCCAGTCTTTTGCAACAGCTGCAGACAGACGACATGCAGGCACCCGGCGGGGCAGTCTGGAGCTTCCGCTGTGAAGCCACACCTAAAGAGGTGGTTGTACCTGTTTTAAAAATAAACTTTAAGAGGTGAATCGAGTCCAATCTGTTTCCCTCTCTCTCCTCACAGGCATCGATGAGCCTCTGCCCCTTAAGAAGAGGAAAATCGTCAAGCCTGGCTTCACCCACAGCCCCTGGAAGAGTGCCTACATCAGGCAGCACAGAATAGACACCAACTGGAGGAGAGGGGACCTCAAATCACCCAAGGTAGCTTTCCCTCCTTACTCCACAGAGATCTGATATGAAATGGCTTCGAGTCACCGCGGTTGATGGAAAGCTGCTGATAGGCCAGGTCTCTGCAGTATCTTATGTTAAAAGATTGAGCTGCAGCACAGGATTGATCTCTGTCCTTCAGTCTAAAGACTTCATTTGTCTTTTGCCTGTTGAGAAGTTTCACTTAAAGCCTGACCTGCATGCTAGAGCGGCTCTTTAATGTGCCTCATGCTCTTCTGGAAACAGCCGGGGTCGTGTTAGGCCACCGCTGATGTAAATCCATTAGTGTGCTCTTCATACTCCTATGCATAAGAAGTGTGCTCTGTAATGTGCTGAGCTAGCAGTCCTGTGACCCAGTATCACACACACACACACACACACACACACACACACACACACACACACACACACACACACACACACACACACACACACACACACACACACACACACACACACACTGTTTTACACCTGCAGCACTTGATGGCGTCTCCCTCTTATCTCCTGTTTGATGTTCAAAGCACCATTCGTGTCATTGTCAGTCTCAGTTTTTGCTGTGTCACCCTGCATCCCCCCCGTCCTCCGTGTCCTTCTCACTCTCACGTCTCTCTTTGTCTCCCTGTCCCACCTGAAGGTGCTGAAAGGTCACGACGACCACGTGATCACCTGCCTGCAGTTCTGTGGCAACCGCATCGTCAGCGGCTCGGACGACAACACGCTCAAAGTGTGGTCGGCCATCACGGGAAAGGTAAGGGTGCTTTTCTACTTCCTGTTGTTCTTTCTTTGTATCCTAATGGCTCCCTTTTCCTCTGCGCTGCTCTCAGACATGAATGCCCTGAAGACATCTAGTTGCAGTTTAATTAACTTTTCAGACTTGTTGATTTGGAAGTAAAGGAGACACCGTCTTACTTTTGTAAAATGATCTTAGGTATAAGTATGTTCTACTTATAACCATACATGAAAAATGTTGTATTTGGTAGTAAGGCTGAACATAAGGTTTTCTCAATTAATGGATTCGATTTTTGGTCTATAAGATATCAGAAAAATCTTCTTCGCTGTCCCCCAAAACTGAAGAGGATGTCCTCAAATTCAATTGAAGATTTTGAAACCATAACAAATACATATTTTTCAACTTAAATACATCTGTTCAGCTCCCACTAACCTGATAGTTAATTATTATTAGGGATGTCCCGATCACCTTTTTTTGCTCCCGATCATTTGATTTTGACAATTTGCCGATACCGATTTTTCCCGATCCGATCTTTATGCAATGCATTAAGAGGAAAAAAAGCATTCAAGTTGTCCCTTAAGGTTATTTTTTTATTTAAATTGGATATTCTATCCAACATGGATATAGCTTCTTTTTTTCACAGCAGCATTGGATCAGTTCAGTTGTGCAGCATTGGATCAAAACAAAATAAAGCTTATCAGTACTTGTTAGCTTACTGCTACAATTAGACACTGCGCCCTGCCCACTCTGTTGCCAGATTTGAGAGAAATAATCAACCAGGTCTATGAAAACAAGCCCCAAAGAAGCAACACATACATGATGTTGTGTAATTTGAAACCAAAACTAAGGCCTCAGGATGACTTTAAGACTTGAACATGGTCATTTTTGTTTTGTAACATTGAATACAAAATTTTTAAAAAGTATTTATATATAAAAAAAAAATCCCGATCCCCGATTTTTTCCTCCCGATTCCGATCTTTTGAAAATCACGTGATCGGCTCCGATCCCCGATCACGTGATCGGATCGGGACATCTCTAATTATTATAATCATTTCCCCCGTCACATGAACACATCCTCTCTGGATCTGCATTACATTTGGCCGTTCTGCAGACTTGTTACACAGCACATGTCCGTTCGAGGTGTTAGTATTCATAGCTGGGGCCGCTGCAGCCACACAGGCTTTGGCTGCTGCGTGTATTAAAAAGAAAAGCAGTGGTCGGGTTGGAGAGAGGTTCACCGATTGTTGTGAATCCCAGCACCTTCATGCCTCCGTGCTGGACTCCATTGTCAAAAAAAAGCTTCTCTAACTGAAATAATTCCCCTCTAATCGTTTCACTTGAACTGAGCGGATAATAGAGATAATCTTTGGCTATGAAAAATGTAAGAAAGTCTCTCTAGAAGATTTTCTGCATGATCACACTGCAGTAGGTTTCTCTTTCTGTCGAGCACAATAGACCAGAGAGCTTCTCTTTGCTCTAAAGACTCAGTCCAACAGATAGGAAAGTTTCCTTTGAGCCAACTGGTGACTTCATGCATATCAGTCACGGCGTTTGCAGATCCGAACAGATCCGAGTCAAGGTCATGGGATAGGCATGGAGCACGATTCTGCTCTCCCTCACCCACAGACCAACATCTGGACGACAGGTGGTGGAGCTGCAGCTTCAGCATGTCTGCGGTGACTCACATCTCCATCGGCCTCGCTCTGATGCTGTTTGTGAACCACCCTGCATGCAGACCCACGTCACACACGCTCAGTTTATTGTCTGAGGTTTCCACCACGCTAATCCGCCTCAGATGTGTGTGTTTACATTACTCGTGGAGAAGAGATGAGTCTAAATCCTTTTTCTGTTTGGGTGCTGTATGCAGAGCACAACCCCCTCTGAGGATTTAATCTCTTTGCTTCCTTAGCTCTCATCTCCAGAGAGAGATGGAGAGGAACGGCCAATTAAGCCTCTGCGGCCATTTCGGGTGAAGTGGCTGTTGCCAGGAAAACTGTAGAATATAAGAAAACATGGGATTACCAGCAACTGCATTTGCTTCTCCTTCTTTGTCTTCTATAGTCTCTCTGCCACTGTAGTTTAGGCTCGATTGTTACGTTTTCCTGATCCTCAGTTCGTCCAGACCTGTTCCGGCCTATAAAGAGGAAGAGTTTATCTTGTGGCTCCCAGTCTACGGCCAATATCCATTCATCTTGTCCGTTACATTTCAACTCCATAATCGTACTTTTAAAAAGTTTTTTATTTGACTTTCCCCCGTCTTTTACCTCTTAGATTAATCCTCCATCTTCAGACAAAGCCCCAGGTAGTCTTCCATGGCTCAGCCTCTAACGCAGAACTCAGGTCTGACGCAGCATTGGATCAATAAGAGATAGCAGGTGATCAACGGAGACGAAGAAATCTGACGTTAGTCTTTAAAAGCTTTGCTTTTGAAACCTGGAGCCATTAGACTGGAGATGTGGTTATCTTTTCTTTTCTTCTTGCTCTGACGAGATAGTTTATTTGATTTAGGGTCGTTGATTCTTCATCAGAAAGTAGTCAAAGCCATAATAAGTTGGGCGGATTTTAGATTACAAGGTTAAATTGGCTCATACTCCCAGAGATCAGCAGTTACTTATGTTCTTCTTCCTCCAGAGAGAAAGCTTCTTGCTCTGCAGGCGCAGGATTTAAACGGATGGAAAAAGGAATTGGTCACAGCGCAGACTATTTGTGGTAGAAGTAGAGCAGCGTTATCACTTCTTCTCGGCCACTTGTGCTGCTTTTCCTCAAACACTGTGTTCAATTTAGAGCGATCAGCGAGCGATCAAAGAGATTCCCCCTGTGATGGGAACATTTGGGGCGAGTCAAGAGCTGCTGCCTCACTGAGCACCATCCAAATGTGTTCTCATGTTTCTCACAGTAACCCCAACACATCTCTAAACACTGCATCAGATATCATTGAGGCAAGATTGTCCAACAGATTTGTATCAATTCTCTAGTGAAGACCATTTCTTGTTTTCGAGAATTCCTAGTGAGTCATGCATATTTCAGCACAGCAAGCAAAGTGTCCTATCTTACTGATTGGGTTATTTGCATGAACGTGGCTTAATGTTATACATTTCCACCCATTCTCATCAATGCAGGATTGTCAAATCTCCAACACATCGTCTAAAGGTTCGTCTTTGCAGGCGGTTTTTATTCGTTCACATTTAACCCATTGAGTTGAGCCCCTTGCTGTGACTCAATCTGATTTATTGTTGGAGCACATTGTGTGTAACTGCTTCCACCCCTCTGAAAGCACCGGGCCGTTGCTTAGCGATCAGGTGAGACAATGGGGATTTGATTGCGGTGAGAGCATTGCATCAGAGGCTGAACAAACACAATGAGTATGAAATTACAGTGAAATCCAATGAATCTGTTGGAGCCTGCATGTGCACTTCAGGTTTGCGGTCTGGAGGAATTTGGAGGAGCTTGTTTTCCCGCTGGATCAGCGGTTGCCTAGACGTCACTTGAAGGCGCTCTGTCTCTACCTGATGGACCTTTGTCTCCGCGCGTCCTCCAGCTTCAGTGGAAAATGTCAATCTTCCACAAAGCGCCGCTCATCACTTGAAAGGAGGCCGCTGGTTAACAGAGGAGTCCCTGGTGGCGCCTGTCAGCAGATCTAAGATGGCCGACCTGTGGACTGCTGTCAGACCCAGAGAGAGATCTCCTCGGCCACGTGCTTCATCTGCATGGAGACCCCGTTTACCTCTCCTCTTTAGCTAACAGAGATAAGAGATTGCGTTTGGAGCTGTGAACTGAAGAGGAAATAGTTTTTAAAGGATTAGAGATGAGGAAATAACGACTTCAATTGTCAAACAAGGCTGCTTCCAAAGGTTATTTTCATTTACTTTGAATTTATCTCGATTAGTTTACACAATGAAATGTAGGAAAATGTCAATCAGGGATTCCAAAAGCCTAAGATTACGTCCTCAAATGTCTTGTTTCAAACTTAAAGATTTTTAGTTTACTGGCTAAACCATTTATCCGCAATTGCCAATGTGGTCGTTTCAAACTTGATCTAGATTTATGTACAGATCTACTTTGGAGTTGTGGTAATACACTACTGCTTTCAGCCAAGCAGAAACTATTTATCTTACAAGTTCTGGGTAGAAATACTTCAGCAACACCTGCGATCTTTCTCTGTCCTTATAAACAAGCAAAGTGTGAAATTAGTTTGAAAAAGTAACATGTGGTTCGTCCTACAGTATAAACAGAAATGAATTCAGCTGTAGCCTGCATGATCTTTAAATCACGCAACATGACTCCATTATGAGACTTATTGACCTGAGCTAGTTCCTTTTTGAATCTTTGCAAACCATCAGCTTCTGATATTCCTTCTAAGGCAGAGAATGTAAGACCTTTTCAATACAAAGATTAAACCACAGTATGGGACCAGCCCTCTGGCTAAAACACTGGACTTCTCTCCCACCGCCTTTAAAGTAACAGCATTAGATAATGCAAATGTTAAGCATTGCTGGACAACCCTCATGGGTTTTAAAAAAAGGTTAATTAAAAGATTGCAAATCTTCCTTTTCCTCTCAGGGACAGCCTCATTTGATGTTTGTTTCTTAGAGCGATAAAGACTCCTAAGCCCTTCTTTGCGGGTTTTTCTCTGTTCCCACGCCGTGTTGGAGGAGCTCTAATCACTCGCTGAGATTCTGTTTCCACCACTGGCTTCAATTTAGGAGAAGAATGTTGCATCCTTGAGAGTAGGAATGCAATAAACTGCAGGCTTGTGGTTTAGTGTTGTAGAAGAAAAACTAATATGTATCAAAAATGTAGATCAAAATGCACATTGCGCAGTCAGATTATGCACACATCTGCGTTATGAAGTGAAAAAAAGAATTAGCCAGATGTTTTTGCAGCTGCAGTATCATTACTCTCACTGCGGTATGAAGCTAAGAGAAAGGATCAAGGTGATAAAACAAGACTTTTAACAGCGGAGTGAGGTTGATTGTCCGGTCATGCCACATTGGCCCTCAGTTAATGGACTGATTCTCTTTATCACAGGACAGAGAGGAGGAGACGGGCCTCAGCATCGTCTTCCTCGTTCACTCGCTGCAATAAAACCTCACTCCGCCATTCACTGCTCAGCGGCTTATCAGCTGCAGTCAGGGGGTCACATGTCCAACACTTCATGGACACGCTCACTCTGAACCTGACATCACCACGTCCACAGCTCCCCTCTTCTCTCTCCAAAGAATGTAATTGAATTCATTTAGATTAATTACATTTCAAGATAAATTAGAAAATGTGGAGACGCAAATTCAATAGATCAGATTTCCATAACTGCTGTAATCAATAGCTAATCTACCGTCCCTAATGACGATGAATGGACGCATTTTTTTTTCTTTACATTTGAAGAGTTTTGTCAAACGGTTCTGCAAAGAGAGAAAATCGTCCGCTCTCAGACAGATAAGTAAAAGCAATTATAAAAGCTCACGGGGAGATTTTGTGCCAGCACCGCAGCAGCAGGTATTCTTCGGCTGCGTTCCTCTTTCCCACCGAAAAGGTCAAATACATTTCACTTGTCTTTATTCCCCCGAAGGCAATAGGAGGTCACACAGGGGGAAATATGCAAATGTGATTTAACAAGTTTTTAAAGTCAAAAATGTATGAATGAAAGGACTCTGAATGTCTTTGAAACTAACTTTTCTAACATCCCCCCCTCTGTGTTAGCAGGGAGAAATATGCTGATCAAGACTTGTTCTCTTTATTTCCGCAGTGTTTGCGCACGTTGGTGGGTCACACCGGGGGCGTGTGGTCATCCCAGATGCGAGACAACATTATTATCAGCGGCTCCACTGATCGCACACTCAAGGTCTGGAACGCAGAGACAGGAGAATGTATCCACACCCTCTATGGGCATACCTCAACCGTGCGCTGCATGCACCTACATGAGAAACGGTATGGAGCCCTCTCAGTGTTCAGCCATAAATGTAGTCTGACTTAAACATGTGGACTTTTGGAGTGTTTTCAGCACCATAGAGCTTTTGAAATCATGCAAATGCAGCCAACAGATATAGAGCTGAAACAATAAGTTGATTAATTGATGAGTTAATCAGCAAAATATTCTGTTTCAACCTTTTGATAATGGATTTTTTTTTTAAAGCAAAAATGCTTAACATCCCCTAGTTCCAGCTTCTCAAGTGTGTGGGGATTTGCTGCCCTTATTATTTTATGTGACATTAAACCAAATATTTAATATAAAAAGAGTTTTTCCTCTTGGTCACGCAGAACAAGCAGTTCAGGATGTCAATATGAGCTTCAGGAAATGTTGATTATTCCCTTTTTTCTGAACCAAGCTAATTATCGGTTAACTGAGAAAATAATAAGATTATGGATATGCTTGTCAAGTTGCAGCCTTAAATACATCCGTTAAATATGCTACTCAGTTAGCTTTACAAACTATTTAGTAGCAAACAATCACACATCTTAAATGCCTATTGGTAAAAAGTTATTATATTTAGCTAAATCTGCTTTTTCCCCTCACTTACCCAGTTAATAGTTGGATCTATCACTCATGTCTGTGCAGTGAAGCTGTTGCTAAAAAAACAGTAAGTGTAGCTTAGCGAAAAAAGCCGTAAACAAAGGGAAATAGCCAGACTAACTGTACAAGAGAAACATTTCCTAAGCTCACAAAATAACACATTATATCTTGTTTTTATTCGTCTAAGAACAACAGTCTTCTAACCTTCAGAAAGAAAGCTTGAAAGTATTCAGACTTTTCCTTGACTTTGCTCTGTTATTATTAGAAACACGCCTGACTTAACAGTGACCCCACGGAGGAAAAGAGCATCTCAGTGAGAGGACAGTATCTATGAAAGTGAGCATGTGGTCTCATAGTGATTCAATAGACCCTGCGAGACGTCTTAAGTGAAGCGCTGCTCACTCTTTCTCTCTGCGTTACACTCCGGAGACTCGGAGTGCTCTTTGCGCCTTAGGGCCACCGAGGTTTTTGTGTAGCATTTGATTACTCACTGAGCTGCAGGCGGACAGTGAACAACATGTTGAAGGCTTCCATCTATGCAGCGCCGTGAGGCTTTAAAAAAAAAACAAAGAGTATGTTCTGTGTTTATTACAGTATGTTTTTTGAAAAGAGGTAATTCTGGAGGATCGTCTGTCTCTGACGGAGATAAAGGGAAGCTGTGTAAGCGACCAGATTTTAATGTTTAATTTTTCTCTCATAAAAAAACTAGTATAGTATCCTTGGTACAAACTCTCCCTCAAGTCATAATATTAAAAAAAGAAAAAAAAGTGATACTTCAGTAGCAATCTTCCCCAAAGGGAGTTTCCCTTTCTATAACCCATAATATATCCTTCCTGTTTCCACCCTGGGTGCAGAAGCTGCTGCAGGGCGGCTGTTGGAGTTAAATGGGTGTTATTGTACCTTCAAGTATGAACATGAATGTGACGCTGTAGGTTACTCTGTGACAGAAAGTGAAAGAAAATGTCCATACCGTCCTCATTATTCTGTCAAAGCAACTGACACGGTATGAATGGACATTTTGTGAAGATTATGAATATCATCCTAAAGAATATGTAACATAATGAAGGTGAAGACTTAAGGATAGTTTTAAACCTTTGTTGTTGCACCCTGCCTCATTACCCTGACTGTCTCTTAATCAACCACACCCACCTGACTCCCTCTCTCTGGCTCCTCTCAGGGTGGTCAGTGGCTCTCGTGACGCCACGCTACGCGTCTGGGACATTGAGACCGGTCAGTGTTTACACGTCCTCATGGGCCACGTGGCGGCGGTGCGCTGCGTGCAGTACGACGGGCGGCGGGTGGTCAGCGGTGCCTACGACTTCATGGTCAAAGTGTGGGACCCCGAGACGGAGACCTGCCTCCACACGCTGCAGGGCCACACCAACAGAGTGTACTCCTTACAGGTGAGGTCACACACAGTCGGTGGAGGGGCTAAACATACTCTGGATGTTGTTTTCAGCATTTTTACATAAAAAGGTGACATGTTTTGCTCAGGTTTAGTTCGATATTTTGCATTTCTACTTGAACATATTTACATGCTCTTTTGTTAAAAATAATTTCTCATACCGTCTTTCTGAGCATACTCTTTTCCCTCTCTGTCCAACTCACATCTTTATAGTCTCTTTAAGCCCACCTACTTAAAAAAGCCCAGTCTTGCTTGCGATTCAAATGTGGTTCAGCTTGACAAAGTTAGTTCTTATATTCATTTCAAGGTTGAACCTTTACTTTCTGCATTAGGACATACAGCAGGCTTGAGTTGCACCAGCCATTCCTAAATCCAATTTGTATGTAAAGTTCTTCCACAGGCTTTAAAAAGTAGCAACTTAAAAGGAGTAATTTGATTTAAAAAAAAGGGTTGCACCATTAAAGTTGAGCTGCAGAGAAAGGAGCAGTGACACCAGAGCGTGGACATTGGTTTTAGAAACCGTCACACCCCTAGCTGAACTTTATGTACGATTATTCAGTTATTTTAAATACTTCCCTTTTGTGCTCAGTTAGTTGCTTTGCCAAAGTGGCACACTAACAGCCATGAAGTCAATCTAGTAGGGGTGTAACGGTTCACAAACATTTCGGTTCGGTACGTAACTCGGTTTTTAGGTCACGGTTTGGTTCGGTACGTTTTCGGTACAGCAGAAAAAATTATCACAAAACATAACATATTTTTTGTTTTTTTTGAATTATTATTAAACTGTGAATAATGTATTCACTCAAATAAATACAAAATATAATAAAACAAACATTAAGGTGCAGCATTTCGATGAACTGAAATAATCTGTATTTGAACTTTACTGTACTAGTACCTAAGCAGCCAGTTTGACATTATGACTTGCTTGTAGGGGTGTAACGGCAGTGTTTCCCCTATATACAAATAGTGGCGGCGCAGCGCCGCTGCTGAAATATGAGCGCCGCTGCTAGGGGGTGCCAGCCAGGTTTTTTTTTTTCTTAAAATAATAATAAGTGGCGACCCTTTTTCATTTTTGATTGTTATGTGGATTTGTAGTATTTGTGTTACTGTCTGTTCAATAAAGGTGTATTTTTGCTAAATCTTGAGACATTGCCCCGGACCCCCCTAGAGGATGTGACGTCCACCCCCCAATTCAAACATGTTCATACAATACTGAATACATTTGAAGCCATTTTGACGTCTATTACCTATGTCAATAAGTTTTTGCATTTGTCTTTTGTAAAGATTTTTCATTTATTCTTTACACATAAAATGTCACCTAAAATCTCACCTAGGGCAGCAAATTGTCTAGAACCGGCCCTGGTACTAGGCCTCAAGAGCCTTTCTTGTGCTGACACATAGAAACAAATTGGCGGGGCGCACTTCGCACGCGCGCACACTAAAACATTCCACGTGCTCCGCGCTCACATTATGCTGGGCCCACATGCCTTAGCACCGCTGCTATGACTCCATCCTAGGGGAAACACTGAACGGTACACGTACCCGTACCGAATAATTTCGGTTCGGTACACGTGTGTACCGAAGTGTACCGAACGAATATAACGTTAAACGTAACAAATTGAGAACGTGAACAACTTTTTGGAAGTAATCTCAGGTGCTGCGTCGCAGCATTCAGAGTAATTTGCTCACATTGGGTTCAACGCGTCATAGAGCGACCAAGTCATTTCATTGGACGGGAGGCATACTGACCAGCTCTCATAGTATGCCTCTCGTCCAATTAAATGACGTGTAATGTACGGGTACCGTTACACCCCTACAATCTAATCTGATCAATTTCTATCTCCATCTTGCTTATGTTTTTATACTGATTTTGAAAGATTGAATGTATCCTCTCTAAACGTGTGGGTGTGTCTGTGGTGGTTTTAAAACACATCCCCCTGTGTCCTCTAAATGTCCTCTCACCCACTCTGTGTGATTACGCTGCACTTTCAGTGTGTGCCATCACCCTTTAGAGAGGAGGCAGTTTACTGCTCAGATAGATTGGTTTCTGTATCCCGCTGCATCGTTATGCTTTAAAAAGGTTGATGCTCTACTATTGGGCACGAAGCTCACAGATCAATACAATTCATTCATTTCAATGACTTTAATCTTAAGTTTGTTAATAGGAAAGAAGAATACTGTGTAGGTAGATACAGCCAAAGCGAGAGTTAAAAAACATTCAGCATGCTTTTAGGGATAAAGTTTGAACTTGTATCTCCTCTTTATTCTAGTTTGATGGGATCCACGTGGTGAGCGGCTCTTTAGACACGTCCATAAGGGTCTGGGACGTGGAGACGGGGAACTGCATCCACACACTAACAGGACATCAGTCCCTCACCAGCGGCATGGAGCTCAAAGACAACATCCTGGTCTCAGGCAACGCTGACTCCACTGTCAAGATCTGGGACATCAAGACGGGCCAGTGCCTGCAGACCCTGCAAGCAACGGCCTGAGTCTGCCCCCCCCCCAGGATGTTACATCAGCCATGTTTAGCGTAGCTAGAAAAGTGTAAAGTTTCTCACAAATTCAAGGTATTTGTCTATTTCACACAATGAATGTGGCAAAATAAGTGTAATTGTGTATGTAAATGTCTCCAAATGTTTAACATCGGGAGCCTAAAATACATTTTCTATCTTAGCTGGAAGTAAAGTAGAACTTATTTGCTCACCGTCCTCATTAAGTAACTCATTAACTGTTTCACTGCGGAAAGGTTAAAATGGTTGAAACCAAGACACAATAATAGTTTTTTTCAATGTGTACAGCAGGAGCGTGTTATCTACTACGTTTATGGTGAATCTGACAAGAATGCTCATTACAGTGCTGTGAACAGATGAGGGGGCGATGTTATACTGCATTTACTTGTGATTGAATTTGCTGCTGTTTCGGTAACAAAACAAATTGAAAAGCTGTAAATCTCTACATTTGAGACACTGAAAATATCATTTCTGCCATTTTCGCATTAAAATAACCATGTTAAGGATAAATCAGTTATCAAATTGTAGTCACAGATTGGTCGATTGTGGATTGGTGCAACTCCAGTTTTTTATTTAGCAAGTTACAGGAAGTGGTGACAGGCTGCAGAACCACTGCAGTGTAGAAATGTTGTGATAACATCCAAAAGCACATTAGAGGGAAGTTTAAAAATGACATTCCAATTAAAACCGTGTGTGTGGGGCAGACACCTAGTGGCCCCCTGTTCCTGATCACACTCTTGTCTCCTTTGTGTCTGTTTGAATAGTTTAAACTCCATTAGCAGCGGCACTGGTGCCTCACAGGAAGTTGAAAATCCTTCTCTGAATAGCAGCAGCCACCAGCGCCCCGCCCCTAAATGCCCTCATTAGAAAACTACAGCCGTGCGTCCTGGTCCCACAAATACCAACACACACCCCCACCCAACAAAAGGATGCCCCTGTGGGAGTCTGGAGAGAGAGAGAGGGAGGGATCAGGGTGTGTGTGTCTTGTGAAGAGGGGTGATTACAGTGAAGGGATGAAGGCCTGGGGACTTTGTAGGTCGCATAATTAGGTCAGCGGACAATTTCTGTGATTCATTAGCGAGTTTTGATAAAACAATGGGCTGAAACAAGGTCGTCACTGTCGGCTGAAGAGGCTGGAGGTAATGATGGAGGGGCCTTTGTTATGGTGATGCAGGGTGTTGGGGGGGGAGGGGGAGGGTGCAGAGCAACATTGTTTACTTGATAAATAACAGGATTTAACGAACTGGTGCAGAAATGGAAAGTATGGGAATGCATTTTCTCTGCAAATGATTAGGTAAAGGAATTGTATGTGTCTAAATTAAATGGCAGTTATAGCAACGTCAAGTTAAAAACAACACAAAGTAGTTCATTTGCCAGCGCTTGATTCTGTGCTTGTTGTGCTAATTGATTAAATTAAGATATCATTTCCCAGCCCTTAGGGAGATGTTAAGTGGCTGCACACGTACAGTCACAAATAAAGTCACCTCAGTGAAGGCAGTAACAGCCGCCATCTTCACTCAGAGCGTGGCCTCCTGCCAGCAGACGGGGGTGACGCTGCTTAGCCTCCCTGACAGTGATAGGCCTGAAGCCCGCTGCAGTACACAGGGAGAGCTGAGAGAACTGCCACCTTCTCACAGGCTCATCTAATTATCATTTCAAATACACACATCCACGTCTCTACCCACTATAGTACTTAAAGGGGACCTATCATGCAAAATGCACTTTTTTATGTCTTTTATACATAAATATGTGTCCCCGGTGCGTCGGGGAACTCACGCAGCGTCAGAAAATAAAACCCTTTCTCTTTTCCTCCGTACCCACATCTTTTAAAAACGGGGTACACGAGCGGATACAGATTTCCATCCGACGAAATCGGCGGCGGACCCACAGAGAGTTGCTAACAGAAACAATGCCTGACGTGTTTTGGACGTAATCTCGCCTTTGTTTACATTAGCAAGCCTCGCTAACACTCAGAGCTAACCTGTACTGAAGAGCCCATGTGTTTAAAAAGCAGGAAATAAAAAAAGGAACTCACTTTGTGATAAACCCGCAAGAGAAAAAGCATTTGAGCCCCATACTGTTTCAGAAATAATCCTTGATGTGGTTTAGAACAGGGTGGCGTTTTATCACAGCAGAATGTAACTTTATCTCCAGTAGAATTCTGATCAGGCATTAGCTCCGCCTCCTCTAACAGCTGGTATAGAGGGGTATGAGCAANGAGGACTCTTTAAAGTAGAGACACTACATACTGATATACACCTGAACATCAGCAGGAGAGGACTCTTTAAAGTAGAGACACTACATACTGATATACACCTGAACATCAGCAGGAGAGGACTCTTTAAAGTAGAGACACTACATACTGATATACACCTGAACATCAGCAGGAGAGGACTCTTTAAAGTAGAGACACTACATACTGATATACACCTGAACATCAGCAGGAGAGAACTCTTTAAAGTAGAGACACTACATACTGATAAACACCTTTAAATGTGCACTATATGTCCTCTTTAAGAAAGTTTAGTTGTCTCAAGATCATAAGAAACCTATTCTGTTCTTTTAAATAAAATAATTGTTTCTCAAGATCACAAAACTTGTCAAGATAGACATAATTAATTCACAAGTAATTGTATAATGCCTATAACCTTTCTTTTTGATATCTTGGAGTAATGACATGAATAACTTGTGATCTCAACATGGGAAAACAGACAATATAAAATGTTTGAATTATGTTTTTTAATGGCTTCCATAATGTCATCCCCTAGTTAACATGATTCCCTTTTGTCATCATTACCAAAAAAAAAGCTATTACCACTGCAGTCCAAGTTAATCTTTTAAGAAAACATCAATTACATTCTATAATAGAGAAACTCATCCTGAGAGAGGACGGAGAATTCTCTGCTCAATCATCCTAAATATCTTTTCTGCTCTTCACCCCGTCCCATTTCCTCTCTTCTCCTCCCCTTCCCCTTCTTCTGGAGATCCACATTGGACTTGATGAGGATTGGGACTTCATTACAGGCTTGCTAGGAATTATTATGGGCTGTAATTGGCCCTCCAGTCCCATAGGAGGCGCCCTGAGGTTTTGTTTCTGGCCCAGGTTGAAGCCTTTACACTTCTGAGGTCTGACTTTAACCCAGCAGCATTCCCATTCATCCCAAAGTCCAACAAGCTCCTTCTGGGATCGTTGGATTCTTCAGAATTTCCAACAGATGCCGTTGAAGTGCCTTTCACACCAGCGCTTTTCCGGTTGAGCTCCGGTTTCCCTTTTCTGCTCCCGCTTTGTTCACACCACACAGAGCCGGGGTGGTGCTGCGTCATTGGCTCATCGCTTGCGTCATGACGTAACCGTTTACGTGCCTGCTTCATAAAAGCCAAACCGCGCGGAAATCCCTCACATCGACAACAACAACAATGGCCGATTTTATTGAAGTGCTGTTCGCTTTGGTTATGCTCTTACGAAACGAAATGGAAGGCATGGGACGACTTCACTTGGAACTTTACAAACATCACATGCGAAATTCAAGACTTCTTTGCGGGCATTTTGTTATTGTTCAGGAGGTTGATCCCGCCCATGCCCATGCCCCTGCCCCCGCCTCTTAGCTCCGGAGTCTTGCTTCTAGACCGACAATTTTTTGGAGCTGGAAACGAACCGGATCCCGGAGCTAGGAGGCGGCGGTGTGAAGAGGAAAAACCGGTACTTTTCAGGCTCTAGCTCCGAGCCGGCCCTGAACGCGCGTTGGTGTGAAAGGGGCATTATAGTCCTACTCGTAAAGCCGGTTGATTGAAATCTTTATGTTCCATAATCACGAGTTAATTACCATTTGTTAATGACTTCTCGGATGCTAATTGAGGCGCTGTTTACAGCACAGGGAGCTAAAGCTTTATAAATCATGCCGTCCTGTCAGAGTGACTGATAATCATCCTACAGATCACTGAAAACATTTCTGAAGCGTTCCCAAATCTTCCCCTCATTACAGATACCGCTGTCTCCTCTCTCATTGGAGCGGTCTGAATGTGATCTCAGGGAGAAAAAAACAACAAAACAAAAAAAAACCTTGATTGCTAATTGAAAAATTAGAAAGTCAATGAGAGGCTGCAGATCTAATTAAAGTGGAATTGAATGGAGGGTCTTGTGTTGCAGACTCGATTTGCTCTCTCCAGTTTCTAATCTCCTCCGGGCTCTGATTTGCCTGGTGAGCGAATGCAGCGCTCCTCCTCTGTGTGTTGCTGGAATGCAATTGGCTTTGTCCTGCCGTCGCCATCGGACAGATTGATTTGGATTCAATCACGCTGCCTTTCCCCGACGCTGAGGGAAATAATAATGTGAAGTCATTACGTGCATGGGAAGTCTCCAAACAAAGACAGACCTGTGTATCCCCCCCCCTCACACACACCTCCAGAGACCCATGTGGATTTCTAATTCAGGCCTGAAGCTTACAAGAGTGTGCACCTCGGACGTCTTATTTAAACACCTCACCGTTATTCTTTAAGGGATTGATGGCAAAATGAAGATGTCACTCATGACAAACTGGTGTGTGTGCCGGAGCCTCCGCTCATCCGTTATGTTGTCACGATGTGTCTGCCTCACATCTATAACACTGTGGCCTCCACCAACACTGTTTACCTCTTAGTGTACCTCATGGAAAGAAGTGGTTAATTATAAATAACAACAGCCTGCAGCGGAGCCATGTAATTAATGGAAGTGCCCGGGTCGTGATGCATGAGAGCCCAACACAGCGGGGGGTCTTCAAACAGCTGTGTGAAAAATGGACACGAACTGTAATCTATAGCTTTCTTCTGCTTCATTGTGTGTCTTAATGTAATATGTTATAGGGTTTTATGGGAACTGCTGACTGCGGCAGTTTTTTTCTTCTCGTCTGCTCTAAGCGTTTTCCCTGCCTCTTGGCGACAGATCCGGGAAAATGATTGATTGAGCGTTGTGTTTCTGAAAAGATGGAAAACAAGACACTCATCAAACCCAGAGAGGCTGCAGTATCTCTCAGTAGATGAGGATACTCTCGGATATTGGATAAACATTCATAAGGCTGTGGTTGGTATCAAAATCATAAACTTTTTATGAGAAAATCATTCATAGTTTTGCTCGTAAATTCTATTTTTGAAACAGTTAAAAAAAAATTTTAAATCAATGTTCTAGTCCATTTCTACAATCACACTGAGATACAAAACTAAAGGCATGTTTGCTTAAAAAACAGCGTGGTGCGCCTTTGTGCATGTTCGGAAAACTATGTATTCAAGCGGACATTAAAGGGCACCTATCATGCAAAATGCACTTTTTGATGTATTTTATACATAAATATGTCCCCGGTGCGTCGGGGAACTCACGCAGCGCCACAAAATAAAACCCTTTCTCTTTTCCTCCGTACCCACATCTTTTAAAAACGGGGGAACAACGAGCGGATACAGATTTGCTGCAGATATGACGTAATTTCGGATTGGTGGAGCTACAGAGAGTTGCTATCAGAAACAATGCCTGACGTGTTTTGGACGTAATCTCGTCTTTGTTTACATTAGCAAGCCTCGCTAACACTCAGAGCTAACCTGTACTGGAGAGCACGTGTTGAAAAAGCAGGAAATAAAAAAAGGAAAGAGAAAACCTGTAAGAGAAAAAGCATTTGAGCTCCAGACTGTTTCATAAATAATCCTTGATGTGGTTTAGAACATGATGGCGTTTTATCACAGCAGAATTTAACTTTATCTCCGGAAGAATTCTGATCAGGCATTAGCCCCGCCTCCTCTTTTTTATATGATATGAGGGATTTCTAAAATGCATGATCTGTTTGTATTTTGAGCAAAACACATCATAGACATGTTTTTATATATTTTTATATATCTGAGATCCATAATATATGCCTAAGAATAGCATGATAGGTGGACTTTAAAACAATTCCTGGAAAATGGTAAATGTGTTTTCATTCAAGCAGAATTAATGAATAAATAAGAAAAAAAAATATTATTTTTAGTTTTCAGTTCATTTCTCAAATCTGTTTGGTTAAGCTTTTAGGGTCCCATCTTTGAATTNCAGGCTCATCTAATTATCATTTCAAATACACACATCCACGTCTCTACCCACTATAGTACTTAAAGGGGACCTATCATGCAAAATGCACTTTTTTATGTCTTTTATACATAAATATGTGTCCCCGGTGCGTCGGGGAACTCACGCAGCGTCAGAAAATAAAACCCTTTCTCTTTTCCTCCGTACCCACATCTTTTAAAAACGGGGGAACAACGAGTGGATACAGATTTGCTGCCGACATGACGACAAATCGGCGGCGGACCCACAGAGAGTTGCCAACAGAAACAATGCCTGACGTGTTTTGGACGTAATCTCGTCTTTGTTTACATTAGCAAGCCTCGCTAACACTCAGAGCTAACCTGTACTGAAGAGCCCATGTGTTTAAAAAGCAGGAAATAAAAAAAGGAACTCACTTTGTGATAAACCCGCAAGAGAAAAAGCATTTGAGCCCCATACTGTTTCAGAAATAATCCTTGATGTGGTTTAGAACAGGGTGGCGTTTTATCACAGCAGAATTTAACTTTATCTCCGGTAGAATTCTGATCAGGCATTAGCTCCGCCTCCTCTTTCTTTTTTTTCTTTTTTTTCAAGCTAAGGACCCAATATCCGTGTTTTTCTAACAGGGCTGCAAAAGAGGGGTATGAGCAGTATGAGGCATGGCTACAATGGGTGATCTGTTCAGACATGTTTTGTATGGGTATGGCCCTACAATATATTTTTCCAATATAGCATGATAGGTCCACTTTAACTACAAATGGCTGTTTCCTGGACGAAAAGTGGAAGTAGAAAGCCTCTCGTAGCTTAAAGGGTCCAAAACAAATTAAAAGGATGTATGATGAGTCCATCTGCTCTTTGGCGACCTCCTCTTGGGTGGAGGTGATAACAATTTTTAACGAAAATGTTGAAACAAGGAATTCCCCTCACTTTCTGAGTAAATGTTGTATAAAATTGTAGTATTTGAAAGCAAATGATCTAGAAAAAAAAAAGAAAACTCAAAGTGTGATTGAAAATGCACACTAACAGTGGACGTGATCGTGGAGAAGTAAACAATCTGTTATTTTCACAAAAGTAATAGCCGCCGTTAATCATCACAGAAAGCGCAGGAAACATTTAGCTGAGGTTCTAAATATAGAACATCATAATATATTCCTCTATTGAGAATGCATGTAAATCCTCTCTCCACATCCCTCTAACCGCCCGTGTCTTTGTGTTTCAGGCCCCCACAAGCACCAGAGCGCCGTGACGTGCCTCCAGTTCAACAAGAACTTTGTGATCACCAGCTCGGACGACGGCACGGTCAAACTGTGGGACCTGAAGACGGGCGAGTTCATCAGGAACCTGGTGACGCTGGAGAGCGGCGGCAGCGGGGGGGTGGTGTGGCGCATCCGGGCCTCCAACACCAAGCTGGTGTGTGCGGTGGGCAGCCGCAACGGCACGGAGGAGACCAAGCTGCTGGTGCTGGACTTTGACGTGGACATGAAGTGAGGCGGGGGGGAAGAGAGCGAGCCACGAGAGGGAGTGGGAGGTGAGGCCGAGAGAGAGAGGAGGGCCACAACTCTTCATCCAAATCTACCAACACCACCGCTGACCTCCACCATCATCTCCCCGTCCCCCTCTGGGCAAATGTTACTGACCAAGCCTCTGACCCCTCACACGTGTTCAGCCCCCGCTCTGAGCCCCTGCCACCGATACATGGTGGAGCTGGAGGGGGGTCCGGCTGGAAATGGGGCGAAGGAGAAGGAAGAAAAGGAACGACTGACGACGACTGAACTCTTTGAAGTGACTCTCAACCCTTTCGGTCTGGGGTCCGCTTCGCACAGAGACTTGGTTTCGCTCAAGCCTGACAGATTTTGAGATGTACAGAGATATATTATTTTTTAAAGCCCCCCACCTCACAACCCCCTCCCATCAGTGCGCGCCCACACACACATACACTCAAACGGCCAAGTGGAAGTCATTGTAGGAGAAGGCAGAGGAAGGTGGAGACGTTTTAAAGTAGATTTCCGCTCAGCTCCACCTGCAGAGAGCTGTAAACAGGTCTCTCACTCCGTTCTCTCTGCACCCGGTTTCTATCGTTTCTTTACAGTATCGCACACAACCACAACTGTGAATTTCAATACGTGCTTGGTTTATCATATGAAAGGGGTTTCTTTAATGTTGTTTTTTTTCTTCTTTCTTTGCGGTTGCCAACAGCAACAAATCCCAGTATTAGAAACCTACCCGGTTTAGGTTTGCTGTCATTATGTCACAAAGGTTTTTTTTTTTCCTCTTTTTAATCGAGTTGTTTGTTCTTCCTTTCTGTTTTCCACATACCTTGGTTCAGAGCTCTGCCTCCACACAAACATCTACGCTGTCCAGAGTTTAGTCTGGGGGGGTGGGGGTGTTTCCCTCGGTGCCAGAGCTGTGACTGGAGGAAGTGAAGCTCCAAGCGCTGAGGATTAATGACCCGACCCCCCCCGAGCCCCTTCCCCCTCTAATGTTTTCTCCCAGTGGCCAAACTGTATTTATGCTGCTAGATAAATAGAAAAAGAGAGATGGAACTTTTACTTGCTGTGACGTTTTAGTCCCAGGCAAAATTCCAAATTGAACTCTTATATGTTTGGACTTAAAGAAACAAAAGATCACAAAAGATAACATCTGACATTTTAGTTTTGTTTGTTTGTTTTTGCCACTTGAGCCAAACGTGCCTCTACGAGGCTGAGCGGAGGGAGCGTGTCGGACAGATTCTGACAGGATGCCCGCAGAGAGGAAACCAAGGGGATGTACACTGTTGGTGCGTGTGCGTGCGTGCATGAGTGCGTGTGTTAGCGTGTTAACGGGCAACTTGTAAACACATTCCTTGGGACAACGCTCTTTCAGCCTGGTCTCTGGGGAAATGTACAAATGTTGTGTGGACTGGCAAAGAAAAAAAACTAGCATCGATTTTAACATGTGAATGAGAGACCTGTCCGTATCCGTGCGTGAGTGTTGTTCATTCAAAGATGTCTGAAGCAACAGAGGAGACCGTCACGAGCTCCGCTGAGAGGTGGAGCTGCCAGGAGTCTAAGTGTTACATGTGTTGCAGATGAAATCACTGCCTCCAGGATTCTCAGTGGGGGAAAATAAAAACACAAAAGGCAACAAACAGAAACATTGTAGCCAAATGAAAAATCGTCTCAATCTCCAAGAGTCACAACTCAAGCTGAACTGTGAAAGTGGTATAACACTGTATATTAAAAAAGAAAACAATCTTGCTCTATCTCCTCTCGTTGTTTTCTCCATCTGTTTTAATTTATGATCTGGTTTGAGAAATCAGATTTGTTGCAGGTGTTTTATTTTTTCAGTTCATGTAAACTGCCTGGCAAAAAAGAAAACGGACAGAAAAAACCTTAAAAGGGATTGTGTATTTGTTTGATTCACTTAGAATTTTATTTTCTTATAACTTAAGTGCAATAAAATGTGGGTTTTTCTTTTTTCATTTCAAGCATATCAGTTGTCTGTTTTTGTTACCTGTGTGAAGGCATCTTATATGTTCAATAAAGCAAATTATTTGGTTAATTACATCCAAGAGGCAATACTTTGAACATCCACTGCAGTGCAGGATTTCTAGATCTGATTCATCTCAGGAAAGCTTCTGTGTGATGGACCTTCATGTTGTTAAAAACCAGGTAATGACTTCATCAGTTTGGGTACGCCTAACAGCAGGTCTACTCGTCCTGGTTTAAAGGAAGTTGTTGTTTTACTTTAAAGGTCTTTTTTTTTTTCTACCGAAGAGGTTGTGGTTCTTGTCCACTCTGGTTTATTTAAATCACCCAATATGTTGCATACGTTCTCAAAGATCCCAATTTAGACTTGGCTCTGCCTCTCGCATTCGTCACACGATATTAACGGCATTCTCCAAAAACAGACACAAAATAATAAAGTTCTCCTTTCTTTCTGTCTTTCTTCAATCAAGCAGAAGTACTTGTAACGTCAATGCTAAAGTCGTATATGAATGGATGGATCGAACAAACCGACGCAGAAGTGGGTTTTTAGCATTGTTAGAATGGGCTACTGCAACACCAAGAAAAAAGAGAGCTACCAAGAGAGATAACAACAAATCTGTCAACAAGAAATTAAAGGTGCGGTAGGTAAGTTTGAGAAACCGGCTCGAGATATACTTTTTGTTATATTCCATGGAATGCTCTTAACATCCCGATAGCAATGAATATCTGAAGTGCTTTGACAAAAAATCCATAAAAAAATGTTCATCTGTGGAAGCCGTAGTACTGTAAAAAGCACGACCAATCATCTGAGCCGGCCCGGCTAAAGTAACTGGATGGCCTACCTGCCTGTCAGCCTTCCATCTGTGCACAAACTTATCTCGTGCCCTCATTGGTCATGTGCGCGTTCGTGTGTGTTGGAGGAGGGGCTCTGTAAGGAAATGGCAGATTTTTTCCGGTTGTGTATTTTCAAATTCTAGCGCACTCCAGCTGGTTTCTCCAAAATGACCTACCCCACCTTTAATTAATGCACATACATGAGATGGGATTTTTTTTGAACACACCGTCCACAAAGCCTTTATTTCCCAGTTTCCCATTTATGGTTGACCCTACATTATGATGCAGTATATTAAGTCATTAACAAACACAACCTTTGCTCTCTGTGTTTTCTTTACAGCTGCTCAAGTCCAGTGAAGGCCCTGCACTGAGGCGCCGACGTCACCTGGACTCCTCCAAGCCTTACATCGCTGCCAAGTTGGCCTCCCTGCCGGCCAGCTTCATCGTGGGGGATGAGAAGATGTACAACGGCTTCTACAACAAACCCCTGGCCGGAGCGCAGGAGTATCTCTTCTTTGTCCTGGCTGTGCTCCGAAACGAAGGGACGGACAGCACTTCTAATTATGTAAGACACACATATAAGTGATGAACATGATCGTTATGTGACAGAACAGGCAATCCATCTCAAAAGCATTACTCATAATACTTTCTTTCTGTGTAAAGGTCCCTCCCGGATTTGTGAGATTGAAACTCAATTATCTCTGCCCTGTTCTGTTCATTTGTACATTCACACCTTTTTTATATTTTTCAGACCAACAATTCGAATTAATAGCTTTTCCTCAGCCTCTAACCAGGCTGCCCCTTCAATGTTTCCATAATGGCCAAAGTGTCAAGCCGAATTGTTGTTGTTTTACAACCACTTACCCTTTAATACCCCTCTAAAAGTCACTGCAGCTTGTCCTGATAACACCCTTATCAGTCGACAATGACATCAGAGAGCTCTGCCTTTTGGACAGACAGCAGGGCCCGTGCTGATCTCTTTACAATGCTTATACAAGGCTCTTGGCTTTTTAAGTGGAGGCCCCATGCACTCGTCAAACAGCACTAACACGGAGGCCCAGCTCTCCATGGGATGGTCTGGAGTAAACTTCACTGCAGGAGAAACGAGAGTCTGCGATTGCTCTGGGCTCCTGCTCCAACCCGGACATGCATATTCAGCAGCTGGGCCCTGGACAGCCACAGAGAGGGAGAGAGCGAGTGCTCCATGTCCGAAACCAAATCCCAGACTTTTCACCTTTTTCTCTTTCTTCTCTCTTCCCTCTCAGCTCTTTTTCTTCTGCACACTTCCCTGTGTCTCTCTCCTTCTCCCCATCTTTCCCCACCGTGAAGAGAGCAGAGGAGATTGATTAGTGTGGCTGGAGTTAAGAGGGAGACGAGGGCCTGGTCACATGACCTAGGGAGTCTGTAAAGCAGGCCTGATTCCCTTGAAATGCTGCTTTAAATGTCCCTAAAGCCTCCACCC